TTTATTTATTTATTTATTTATTTATTTATTTATTTATTTATTTATTTATTTATTTATTTATTTATTTATTTATTTATTTATTTATTTATTTATTTATTTGTTCGTTTGTTTATTTGTTTATTTATTTGTTAGATGGTCATGAAGATGATGATGCCGGCGATGGTTATATTGTTCCTTCAACAGAGCTTAATCTGGCACATAACTACCTTGATATTAAACACATTAACCCTGATGTAAATCAACGCAGTAAGTCTCAATAATATCAATAAAAAAACATTGAACATAGGGCCATATACTTTTCAAAGTTACCATAAATTTCGAGGGATGATAAATGACGTGTTTTGTTACAGGGTATATGGATCAGGGAAGATATAATGAAGGGGCAATGCTAGCAGATGAGAACGATGGCGACAGTCACAATGAATCATCTTTAACCAGCATTCACGGGGCAGCATCAACAAGCAACTTGGAATCTCATCGTAGAATGCCAAGCTGGGTTGAAGGGTACGACAAAGTTGACGAATTGTGATCTGCGTACGTTGAAATTAACTTGAAATAATGTGCAAACTCGTTCAATGTATTGAACAAGCAGGAAGTGTAAACATACATTGTTTTAATTTGTTTATTTTCACTGTCATACGAGATGAATGATTAAGTGGTTTTATCCACCTAACAATGTCAGGTATCGATATCCATGGTAATGTTTGAGTCATAGAAATAACACATCTCAAGAAATGAAGATGAATATTATTTATTGTTACTTGTAAAATAATGTTTTACCTTTGATTTTCTTTAGTGGAAATTGTTTCGAAATTGTTCATTTTGCATTGATAAGTTGTACTCACATCCTTCACTGTATGATACTATATATTGTAATTTTTCTATACGAGACATGGTTCTGAATTTGATTTGTAACGTGTATGTTTGATTACGGAATTCGCAATGCAATATATAGAGAAATTGTATTACCCAATTCATACGAATTCGATAGCGAATAATAATATCAATCAGACCAACGTGGAAGGAGGACAAGTGTAATGTACTACCATACTAAATCACATCTAAACATTTGTCATGTTAAATAGAAAACTAGAGAAATTATTTATTATCATATTATACATACAATATTTACATCACATATTAATATTAATATTAATAACATAGAACTCCTGGATAGTTCTTACTATTATTGTGCTTGTTTTTTTATTTACACACATGAAAGACATACAAAAAACAGGAAGTCGATGGTGTAATTTTATATTTATAAGTTCGTTTTTTACTACCACAAACCAAAAGATTGGTAATGTAAACAAATAAATAATATATTGTGTACCACCTTGAAACCATTTATGCAACAGGTCAGCTTACAATAAACTCATTTTTGTTGTTGTTGTTATAATTATTACATACACATGTGTTCACTATCGCAAATTGAACATTGTATTAGTCTGTTCAGTAGTTATTTTGTCTCCCAAACTAACATTTAAATAGACTTTAAGGTAGAGATGCAGTTTACCTGACAGGTACTTTAATTAGTTAATTGGGAAACCAAGATGACCTCCCTTGTCCACAAAACTATATGTTTTCGGAAAGCTTATTGTATAAATTTTAAAATTTTGTTAGTATTTTTTTTATGGACACTGTAGTTTGAAATATGCACACAAATGTGCTTTTTTGGTCAAAAGTGATTTAAAAAAATTAGCTCCTAAACCATGCTTCTGTTTCCTGTCAAAATTGGTTTATGGGTACATCTGTTTACCATGAAGAAAGTGCCGTCTTGAAAACTGTCTAGTAGTTGTCAATTTTGCAGGGCAGCAGACCAAATTTAACTACTTCAAGTTTATGCATACATTAACACCCAGGCTAGTTGTCTGTACGATTGTTGTAACACTGTTCAACCAAAAACAATGCCCGACGGCATTTTGAAGATAAACACATTGTC